TAAATATAGATTAATAACTGTTTTAAAACACGTACAAGTCAAAAAAAATAGGTTAGAGACAGGCGTGCTTTTTAAATTAGGATAAATAATTTATTTAAAAGCTTAAAGTTCTGGGTGTATTAAATTTTTTTTTTTCTACTACTATTACTAATTATTTATCACATGTTTTTATATGACATGATACAACTACATGTACAAATATTTTACATATTTAATTAAAAAGTAAGGTCCATCGATTCGCTTTTTTTTAGCGGTGTAGAAAAATTGATGAAAAAAATAATCTTTTAAATGAAGCATAAGTTATTAAAATTAAGTATGATGGGGGATGAAGGGTTGTGCAGGAACAAGAGAAATAACAGAGACAAGAGAAATAATGAGCCGTTAAGAGGTTATGCGGGGCTGTGGGAGCTTCTTAGAAACAATAGAAATGTTTAATCAATGTTAAAAACATTCGAATTCTACTTTACATGTGGGGGGTGGGGTGGCGTTGGAAAGTAATGGAGGGATTTTCATATTCAGTTCAAACCCAAAAAAATTCTGCGGAGGTTGGTAGGGATTTGTGAGGTGGCCATTGACACACTAGTTCTGTTCAGAAGTGTGGCTCCTAAATATAGAGGAACCAACCAGAGAAAACTTAGACCTTTTCCATACTGTTCCTCGACCTACTGTACTACTAAAACTTAGGCTGCCTTGTCAGTCTGTAAGTGTATATATTTCTATACTTTCTCTAGAAGTATAAGCTTGACGAGTAGTGCTCTGCAATAGACGTTTTAGACGATGTACTACTTAGTCATTGGTGTGTTCCACATATGATGCTGCATCGCTGTGTATTGTGAGTTACGGAAATCTTAGTGTATAGCCTAAGATAGTTTGGATAAGGGTGGAGGAACTTTTTATTTGAAATCCGCAGCTCTTCTCTGCAGACGTGTGATAACGGCCTTACATTGATCAGATACGGAACCTATTGGCAGTACATCTCGGTTGACTATAGTTCTATTAGACCATGCCATGACCTATAGGTAATAAAACTGCTTGTAGCTTTGGAAGAATACACCAAAACCAGACTTTACGCAGTCTGGCTGAGTGAGAATTATGTAGTAGTATCTTTGCTGTCCAACAGTAAGTTTGTGTCAAAAATTTAATATATAAATATGTTAAAATGATTGTTTATAAATGTAGACAACCTACATATATTAATATGAATTAATTCATAATATTCCTCTTAATTACATAATAAGTCATTACTCGTCTCTATGAAGTACATCTATTTGCCTCCACGGCGCGGCAGTGTGGAAAATCGGATAAAAATAAGTACTATAAAGCCAATATTTTATTCATGCTAATGAGGCCGGTCAAGTTCCGTGGGAAGAATTGAGAAAAAAAAGAAGTGACGTTAGCATACTTTAATCAACTTGGTACATACACACATATATGTATGTATATTATTTTATTTAAAATTTTTTTTACTAGTAAACTACGATAAGTAAGTGGGTAAGTGTCTGGGTCCATGATGGTTAGTACAGTTTCAGATATATTTTACAAAAATGGTGTGTGGGATGTGAGGGGCGTGGGGGTTAAAAGAAGTTCTGCGTGGAGTGAAAACGTATGTGAAGTGGTCACTAGCGGCGCTATAACGTAGTTGTGAGGGCAGTGGGGGG